CACACACACACACACACACACAGTAAGCTTATGCATGGAGCAGATTAGATCTATAACTCTCCTGCGTTTGTGTTTTTATGAAGAACATTTGTTCCCCTCTCTCCGCCCCCTCCTTCTCTCTCAGTTGCCCCAGTAGCAACGTCTACTTTTGGGGTCACTGCCTCCGCGATCCTGCCCGCGCACAGCAGAGCCTGAATTGCAAAGGTTAATGGTATTGTCTGTCGGCAGAGGAACACACCGCTATGCCTCAGCGCCCGAGGGAGAAAGCCAGCACATTAATGCTAATCAGTTAGCGCTCTTTAGCATAATTTGGCCATCCGCTTTTGTGATTTATGATATTTTCAGTGAAGTTGTCAGGTTGAGAGGGCTACGTGCTGTGGTTATTCAATATCAGAGGCAGATTTTTTTGTATTTGCACGAGGAGCTGATTTAATGAAGATGAGTTTTAGAGCAGCAAACACTCAATAAATAATATCTGTAAGTAGAAAGGTGGGATGAAATAGTTCATTGCCTGATTTTAACATTTGGTTAAAGAGAAAGAAAGAAGGAAACTGTTGTGTCTCCTTTACCCGTCCTAAACCTCCAGTTCAGTGAGCTGCATTCAGATTTTAGTATCCCAAACTGAAGCGAGTCCTTGAGTTGCTCACTTTAGATTTTGTCTCCATATTTGATGCAAAGCAGTTATCGCTGTCCTGTTTCTGCACGATGCAGAGAGCACGCCTGAGTCAATGCAAGCCCAACAGCCTTTAACTTTTCATTCGTTGGGGTTTTTCTCAAGGTGTCCCTTTATAAATACAACATCTCATTGTGAGTGCATAAACGACACTATGCACATCTATAAATCTGTTGATGCTGACAGAGGTGATGGCAAAGGCGAATCATCATTAACTGTGGATGGATCTACTATGAAACTTCCAGAACTAAGAAATAAATGGTTTCTTCACTGTGAGGCAGGAAACTCCTGACAAAGTGTGTAACAGGAAAAAAATCTGTGCAGTTCACCTTGTTGCTGTAGTCGTGGGCTCACGGTCAGAATAATCTTGGTGGCTCACATACATATTTTAATTTAAACACTGGTTTTCAGCCATGCATCCATATTCTGCTGCTGATCTGAGAGGCAGCAGTCTAAGCAGGGACCTCCTCGAGCGCTGAGGTGTCACCAAGCTGGCTGAGAAACATAATCTGACCAGTGTGCCCGAGGTCTTCCTGTGGTCTCCTACTGGTAGGACTATGATTCCTACGATGCCCAAACCACCTCATCTGGTGTCCTTATAGAAGAGTAGCAGCTTTACTCTGAGTCCCTCTCAGAACTACAACTACTGCTGGATGGAACAGGGTTCACACTTAAATGAGCTGTGGGCCCCTGCTGGCAGTGTCGTCTCATTGAGGGTCACTGTAGTGTTCGAGTGTACAAAAGAAACAAACAACCACAAATGTTTGTTTGGTACCACTGCTTGCATCTACGACCGTAGGCGAGGGCGGGAACGTAGACGGAGCAGTAAATCGACAGCTTTGATTTCACGCTCAGCTCTCTTCACCGTAAAGATGGGTACAGCGTTCAGATCCCCGCTGACTCCTGCTCCTCTCTCCACCCACTAGTGAACCCGACCCAGAGATACTTGAACTCCTCCCAAACACACCATTTTGTGGCCTCTGACTTTTCTTCCCAGCTGCTTCACGCTTGGCTGCAAACCCTCCAGTTTAAGCGAGAGGTCACTTCCTGATAAAGCCAGAAGATCGGCACAAAGCACAGAGGTGATCCCGAGGCCACCAAGCCAGAAACCGCCGGCCACACTTTGCTGCGCCTGGAAATTCTATCCATGAAAGTTACGAACAACAAGTTTCAAGTCAAACTTTGTTATTTTTTATATTTCTGCATCTGCTTTTTGCCAGTTTGTTTTCGTCTGTTCTGTTTTTATGTTTTGTTGGCACTTCTTAACGCCTCACTCATGACTGAGGTGAAATATGCATTTCCCTTAAAATCATTAAGCTAATGCGTCATAATAAAGTGATGCGCAGGTCCTGAGCTCTTCCCACTGTAACACCAGAGGAAACAATGTGGTCTTTATCAGTGGAAGGCCATCTGCCTCCTCCTTTTCTCCTGTGCACTCAGTGATGCTTGGCTGTCATGCAGGTGGATGGTGATAATATAAGGGTAGTGTAGAGCTTCCAGACAGGAGATGGTGCCAGATAAGAAGACAGGCCCTCGCAGGGAGGTAAGGAAGCCCCTCCTTAAGGGCTCAGCAACTTATCTGGGTGGTTCAGAGGAGGCACTGTAGGTCTGTGAGCAAACCGCAGCGTACGGCCGTCTTACACGTTTGGCACAAGTTGTTACTGATGTCATGGTGATAATGGTGGCTTTCTCTTCACTCGCCATTTATTTCAATATTAATATCAGTGCTGTCTGACATGTGCCTTGTTTAAATCGCTTTGGTTGGTACATCCAGGTGTTCTCCAGACTGAGTGCAAATAAGGCAAAAACTGCACACATGCTGAAGCAGGACCACAGGAGAGCCGATGCTGCACGCCTGACCCGACAGGCTGATAATGAGACACATGTGCACGTCCAGTTTGTAGCAGTGGCCCTTGTTATACTTTAGTCTTGACCACAGAACTCGTAATATTTTAAAGAAATGCTGCTTTGATGTTAAACTGCGCTTTGCACTAAAAACTGAGCAGCAGTTTCTTCATTCGCTTACAGGCCTGCAGACTGTTACTGAGGGCTGCTGCTGGCCTGCAGACCACGCTTTGAGAACCCTGACTGTGAATTGTTCCAGTGTCATGCCCATGTCTCCTTTCCTTTAACAAACAAACACCTTTATACAGAGTACAACATGTAGTGAAATTCTTGTGTCCAAGCTGCAGCCAGGCTGCAGACATAGCTGCGGGGGTTTTGGGGTTTTTTTGCGTGGGGGGTCTAGTCAGGACCCTTACTGGATACCAGGTGGGAATCAAGCTTGTGACTCCCGTTCCAAAGGTGTGTAGTCTTACCACTACACCATCCAGCTTCCTTCCCTCCACTTGAACTGGAGTCGGCTGATTCAGGCACAAGTGTGCAGAAAAAAAGGCGCCTTTGATTTTTCCTGCTCATCCTTCATGCAGATCATTAAAGATTTGCAATGCAAACAGCAGCATATTTGTACCTGTAATGGCGTTACTGAATTTAGTACAATAACGGGTTAAATTACTGCAAAAAAAAAAAAGTTTCATGTGTGCATGTGGAAAAGATTCAGAAACAGCAGCGCGACCTCTGCACAGACCTGAGCGAGCACCAGTGAGAATGATAGCGGGCTGCAAACCAGCATGAGTGAAGGCAGCCGTGGAGACGTTACTGCAGGTTAATAGGACACTTTATTAGATTCATCAGTAAGATAGTAGAAGGGTATCAGCTGGCACTGCGATCAGCTGATCAGCCTGGAATTAAAGTTAAGCTTGACTGTGTGACTTAATTCAACTCTTATCACTGAAGGACATGTTTTTGTTTCTGTTTCCAAAGTTTGATGCTTTAGGTGAGCGTGTTAGGGTGAAGCTGCACTTGGACTGACGAGGACGCACACAGTTTATTTATAGCACATAATCATAAACATTTGAAATGAAAACCTACACTGTTCACAGAAAAACACAGTAAACTGGAAATAATCTGATAAAGCAGAGGTATTCAGATTCCTCTGGGCATAACCACGTGGTCGGTGTGAATAACCAGCCTGATTATGGTCGCGTGTCTGAAGGACATCCCAGGCAGCTGTTATCATCTGGGTGTTTTGAGCTGCTTTCATTATTTTAACCGACACATTTTGAACCTGTTTGTGATCATTTCTCCGGACTTTACTTCTTCGTTGGTGTTGCTTCCAGCTTCAGCTTCCCATTTATCGCTCCATAACCCCCCACAGCTTTGTGAAAGCCTGATTGGTGGCTGGTGGATCCAGCTGCTGTCGAAGGTTTATTAATCATCTGTGGGGAAATATGTTTGAACACCATTTGTCTCTTTGTGTGAGAACACCAACACTGAGCTAATTTAAAGTCCTGCTTTTTACAAAGTGGCACAAACTATCACCTGACTTGATGACAGGTCAGATGATGTGGACAGTTAGCTACACACTGTGGCATCGTGCTGAACCCGGGGATGTGCTCGCCGCCTCTGGATGTAAACGTCTGGAAAAACTCAGCCTCGGCGAGCAACTTTGACAGTTTTGTTTGGTGCTCGGTGTGTCCCGCTTAACCATCAGCGCGGTGCACTTTCAAGACTCCAGTTCCAATCTGTATTGTATTTTTCACGGCCTAATACAGGAGCCGAGTGTAGCTTAAATAACAGTTTATAAAGCTGTCGCAGAACCGATGGTGTGGACAATACGGGTGACGTATTACAGCCTGACAGAAATCAAATTCCATAAAAATGAAATTGAAAACCCTCAGCGAGGCGGCCTTGCTGCTGAGTAGACAGCTCGTTTTAAAGTTTTCAGAGGACTGAGGAAAGCCAGCTCTGGGTGTTGCTGCCCATTTTGAGAACAAGCTGCAGGCCTGTGAAATCACACACTGCTAATTTTCTGTCATATATTATTTTACGGCTGTATTTCTTTCTGTCACTCTGAGTTGTTAAAGTGTTGCCTGTGAAAATCTGATGTATGAGATGAAGGATTTTACAGTCAGAATCTGAGAGTGGACTCACACAACAGCGGCGTTTATATTGTATTATAAATATATCCAGTGGCGGTGTTAGCGGGCTCTGATGTTCTGATGAAAGTCATAAAGCCAGTGTAAACCACTGTAACCTCACAGAGCTGCAGGAAATAAACTGTATTTTATATAAAACCTTTATTTAAAGTGCAGATCTTAAGATCATGTGACCCCAGTAAGGCGTATAGCCTCTGTTGAACCAACGGCTGGTGTTTGACTCACAGAGCAAAAGTCACAGGAAAGACTTTTTAAAGCCAGAACAGTTCTTTGTTCTTTTGAACAGTTCCCATGAAAATCTCCAGTTTTTATCAGCATGTCTTTAAGCTCAGTTTTTTAATTCATCATGTAGCTACCAAGATATCAGCTCAGACGGAAACTATTCAAACACCTCAGAAAGAAATCCCCTTGTGTGCAGCTAAGATTTCAGTGTGAGCATTTAAGATCAGGACATTTTTGTTGTGAGCAAAACCAAATGTAGACTGATGTTAATTTTAGCTGTTTGCTAATCTGTCATTATTGCATTTATAACACACAATTAAAAAGAAGCGACAGAAACACCCTTCAACTCTGTTATGAGTGATGTTGTATAGTTTGTCCACCAGAGGGCGCTCTGCAACTTCCCCAATAGCAACAAACATGTTTGGAACCAACAACCAGCTGATCCAAGAGTAAACAAGTAGATAAATAACTGCACACAACAAATGTTACAGATCTGTTTAGGTTTTGTTTGTCTGGAGGCAAAAAATATATATTTAATATCATATTTAATATCCGATAATTAAAACATTTTGTTTCTAGTCTCGTGTTGTTTCTGTCGTCATCTTGTCATATGATGGTTTTGTTTCTGCCCAGCGGGGACCCCAACATGAACTTTTATCACGAACTATTTAATCCTCATACCACACCTTCACCCATGGGTCAGCTCCTAAATATGAAGACTGACCTTAATTCAGATCTTTGGTGGATTAAGGAGGACCTCCAGGCCTCCACTTTCTGGAGCTTTGCTGTTTATCCACAGCATGCAGTGTTTGTATGTTTTCAATCTAAAAGTGTCTGTCTTTGTGTTTTACTTGCATAAAGCAGATGCCTCATGGCGATGGCCGCCTGCCCAGCCACAACGTGTCGTCTCAGTACCGCATGCACTCCTACTACCCAGCAGCCACCTACCTGACTCAGGGCCTGGGCTCCACCACCTGTGTGCCACCCTTCTTTAGCCTGGATGACAGCAATAACAGCTGCTCTGAGACCATGGCAGCCTGTGAGTGACACACAACAACACACTTCTCAGGCTCCATAAACCTTTACCCAGACTTTATCAACAGTACATGGAAGGGAGGATTGCACTCGAATCCAGAGCGCCATAAAATGCACTTTTTACTTTGACTAAACTTTTTTACTTCCTGCTTCTGATGCAGTTCTGTGAAAGCAGGTCTGACCCGAGCGTTTCTGAAGCTACAAAGTTAAAAACAGTACTGCTCTGTTTCTTTTTGGCATGTTTAAAGATGAAGTAGATTTGATCCCCTGATCTCTGCAGCTCTCGATTTCTGGCACTTGCCAATCTCAGACGCTGATCTCTTCTTAACGTAGCTGCTGACGGAGGTGGCTTGGATTTTGTGCCTTTCTCATGCCTGTGAATGTGGGCTCATCAGATTGTGTGTGTGTTGCTTCACATGTTCAGCACAGTGTTTTTGGAATTTGTGAAGACTGCATGTAAGTGCATGATAAGAGAGAAGATCCAGCATAAAGCAGAAGAGATAGAGGGAGGCTGCTCGACTAATAAGGCCAAATGGAAATTAAGGACATTTAAAGGATTTGCTGTTTGATGGTTTTCAGGCAGGATAAGCTTCAGATCAGGATTCTGGCTCTGCAGTGGACGTCGTTATTAGATTTAAATGTGTTCAGAGAGCACAGGACATAATCTTAACAACTCTCAGATAAACTTGTTAGTAATAGAGGACTGCAGCATGCAGAGGTTCACATTTGCATGAGCACAGTAGGAGTGCAAAGGCTGGTTTGACTGAGGCATTGAGGGTTTGATGCAGTTCTTGAGGTCTGGGTTAATAAATGCGATAACTTCTCTGTGTTTGTTTTTTGTCATTGTAGGGTTTGATGTCTTGATTTTGTGTTATGATTTTTATTATTTGTTGTAGTTTCTGTGCCCTCGAAGGATCTCGGACTGTTTTTGTTCCTGTTTTAATTTGAAGTGTCTGCCTTTTGTGTCGTTTGTTTTGTGATTGTTGGTGCTGTTGTTGCGTTGAGTGCTCAGTCTTTGTCTCCACACACCCTGACAGAAGGTGTCTCTCTGAGTTCCTGTGATGGAGCTGCGTCAGTGTTAAAACTCAGACTCGTCTTCTGTATCTGTTTCATGATTATCGCCGTTTTCTTTCACACCTGTTACCTGTACAGATGTGGGCTGTTCTAATCCACACCTGCCTCATTTTTGTGATCCTCTGATATATGTAGAATCATAAACCTGTAGGTTACATAAATTCTGTAGCAATTAGCATAAAAAATCTCTTTTTCCTCTTTCCTCGTGTGTTTGCCTCTTATAAACCTTTGCACATTGCAGAGATTCAGTTCTATAAAGCCTTAAATGAAACTCAAGTTTTCTTTTAACTATTTCTGGCACTCTTTGGCACAGGATAATCCATTTTTCCTTTCTTGCACTTGGCAACAGTGAGAAGGAAAAACTCACTTTTAACAGGAAGACAGCTGGTGTGAAGGAAAGGGAGACATAAGGCACGCAGAGGAGGAGAGCCAGAGATTAATAATAACTAATGATAGGAAATGAATGAAAATGAGTCATAGACGCATCTTGGTTGCAGAGATTTTTAACACTGTGAATATGACACTCAGTTCCCTTCATGCTTACATCTAAAAACTGGGTTTGTTTTATTTTTAAGGAACTAAAGATGAAGGTTGTATTGTATGTTATTGCTCATATATAAAGGATATAGGGGAAGCGCATCAACAGTACAACATAAATATCCTTCTTTCAATGAATCGGAGCGCTGACACCACCAGCATCGCAAACCTAAAGACCCCCACGTCTCTCCTTGTGTCTGTATTTGTTTATGACTTTCACCTGTCCTTTTCCTGTGGGGGTCCCACGTCAGCCCCCTGCTGTGAATCGCCATGCTCCATTACAAGATAACAACGCTCTCTGTGGGTGGCCCCGCAGTTAGAGGCAGAGGATCAGCCTGCCTCAGTCGGTTCTTTCACCTTTACTGTGGTTTCTCTCATCAGGAAGCGTGTACTTGCAAATATACCTGGAGACGTTTTTTTTAATTAATCGAATCTTTAGCTTCTAAACTTTAGAAATTAAATGAGCTTATGTGTTTTTAAAGATACAGAAACGGCCTTGGTGGCTTACTGAATGTAATAAAAACAGCACAGCAGATCCCCAAAGACATTAAAGTGGCTCAGTATAGCAGAGGGAGGCACAGAGCAGAGCGCAGTGCAAAGAAGAGCTGTCATTTAACACTGACACGAAGGTTGATGGTTTATTTGAAATGACAGAGACTGTGAGTACACTGCTAACGTTACAGTTACTTTATGTGTTTAATGTTAGCTGCTGCAAACATTTTGATTGATTCCACATCCACACTGTGCTGTCTCACACAAAAATGTGCATCTCAGGGGATCATGAACTCATGCAGCACGAATTCTGGATGCAGGTCTTTGAGCTGTGTCGTTTTTCCTGTGCTTGTGCACTTCCTTCTTCTGATTCAGCTGTAAGGACAGACTTGAACACTTGTCCCTTCACCTCAGTACAAACACTACAGAACAGAAACAACATTCATGGCGTTTTCAGGATTTTAAGTGTTCGTCCTGGTGACATCTGCACTACTCTCTTACAAATGTGATTTTGCTTGAAGCATCTGAGCTGCCACAGGAAACAGAGCCTGCTGATCTCAGCCCAGGTACCTGTTCTCCTCCAACACATCAGGGACATAAAACACTCATCTGAAGTGCTGTTTTTGCGTTAAACTGTTGGTTAGCATGCGAGGAAAGAAGGTTGCTAGCCCAGACTATTGACTAATAAATTAGTCTCCATCAGATGTTATCGTTTGCTTGTTTAGATCTTCATTTTATTGTAAAAAGGTAAAATCAGTGCTACAGTAAAGATCAACCGAGAACCTCCCCACGCTGTCTCGTTTCTCATATTTTATTAAATCATGTTTCACTTCAGCCGACCTTCATCAGGTACAAAAACCAGTGTTTTCAAAATGTTCACTCCCATCCACCCGGCAGAATTCCAATTAGGGAATATTGGATGTTGAAACACTTGACACGTGTTTGCTGTTAATCAGATGATGGCACATTATAATAAAAACACAGGAACAGACTCACTAACAGGAAGAAGGATGAAGGATATCTGCTTCCATCGGTGGGGTGAGTGGGGTCTGCTGTGGGCTAATACTGCAGCTACTGCTGCACAGGCTCTGATAATGTGGTTCTCAGAAGGAATAACTAAGCGTTTAAAAGGGAGGAGAATGTTTTTCCTTGACTCAGCTTATTGTCATCATGCTTGCTTAGTTCAGACACAACCAAACTTGGTGTGTGGGTGTGCGCCGTGTCTCCCAGAGCTGGAAGATAAAGCGTGTTTCTGCAGACAAGGCTGCGTTTAATATGTCGGCTGTTAGATCACTCCTGTGCTCCTGTAAACGGCAGCGTGCATGTGTCAGGCCGCGGCCTTGATGTCTGCTGAGGCTCGTTCACATCTTATCAGCAAGTTTTTGGACAATGACCATTTTTGTAGCTTTGGCTCTGTGTGCATGTCAACTGAAACTGCCAAGAAGTGAACACTTTCAGCTTGGCTTCAACAACTGCATCAACCGTTTCAGGATTATAAACACTTTTATACACAACTCCATCATCAGAGGCTCAGGAAGTGGCAGATAAAAAATGTTTTTTATCTGCACATGAAAACATGAAAACTTGATGTTGATGGAAGTGAAGTTGGCCGTCGTTAGACTGGAAATAAAGGCTCGTAATAAAGAGATGTGATGCTAGATGAGGTGACTGCTGGTTTTCTTTGTTGTTTTGGTGTAAAATCATGTTTCTGATTTGGAGTTTTGCTCATTTGGAGTTCAAATGATGAGGAAGAGAAAACATCTGTGTCCTGTGACAGTTTGGTTTGGACCTCGGTTCACAGCCATGGTTCTGGTTCATCCCTTCAGGTGCACGGGGGTGCAGCGGTTACTACTGTGGCCTCACATCAGGAAGGTCCTGATTCCAAATCCACCGCCCGGCCGAGACCTTTACAGACTTGTATGTCTGCTCACTCTTCTACAGTTCCCTTCTTCCTCCCACAGTCCAAAGACACGTTAAACTTAGTGGTTCTGAACTGGTCACAGGTGTGACTCGTGTGCTACCCCTGAAACAGACCAGCGACCCCCCCCCCCCTCTCGCTCCACAGCAGCTGAAATAGGCTCCTGCTTTCTGACAAGCACTTAGGAAAATGGATGGTCGGGTTCATAACTTGTTTTTCTTTAGAGGGATGCACAACAGAAACAGGGTGAAATGTATTTTTACTGCAGATCAGATCGCTTCATCATGGACCAGCCTGTTAAGAATGACATCATCGTTTGTACCGTGAGCTTAGTCTCAGCTAACGGTCACAGCATTACTGTCGTCGTATTTAAACAGAAATATTCAGTGTAATCAATGAAATCCACTCTTTTCCTAAAGATAACTTTTGGACAAGAACTTTAATTATTATAACAGCAGTCGATTAATCATTAATCAGAAAATGTGTTACTTATAAGACAGAAAGTCCAATAATTGACCTAAAATAACTTGTTTTGCTTCATGCAGTAACCAGCAGCAATCCAGCAAGAAAAACTGAAAAAATGACTCAGTTTAAGGTTAATAAGTAATCAATTCGTTTTTACATTTCTAAATAAATAGTTGAGGTTAATTTTCTTCCATTCACATATTGATTTTGGACTGTTTACTGAATAAACTGAACACTTTGACGACGCCTCTTTGAAATTGGACATTTTCACTGAGCTAAAGTCAAACAGTCATTTTTAGCTTTTGATAGAGACACAGTCTGGGTTATACGTCCTGGTTTCAGGTCTGCATTTCAGAAACGGCTTTGCTGTGACTGAACGTGCATCTGGTGCATCTCGGGATCAGTCGATGAGGAGGAAATGACTGTGAGCGGGGAGCCTCGCTGCCCTCCCTTCCACCTGGCAGCCAAGCAGCACCCTGTCAGATTTATCTCCCTCCCAGGATAAGGCTAATCATTTG